AAGGGTTCATGAGGGAGGGGAAAAATGAGCTGATACCAGGGGCTTAAGTGGAGAGCAAATGTTTTGAGAATGATGAGGGCAATGACTGTACAAATGTGCTTTACACAATTGACGTATGTATGGATTGTGATAAGAGTTGTATGAGCCCTAATGATTAAAAAAATGTATTTAGAAAATAATGATGGTAACAAATGTACAAATATGCTTGATAAAATTGATGTATGGATTGTTTTAAGAGCTGTACGAGCTCGCAATAAAATGATCTTTTAAGAATTAAGGGGGGGAAAAAAGCAAGCAAGGAGGTTCCTCTGAGGGTTAAGGTGTGCCTGACCCCAGCCTGCCTCCTGTACGGGCGAGAGCTGTGTGAGAATAAAGTGATGCCTTGGAGTGGTGGTGCCACGGCGGCCGGAAGAACAAACAGGGACGGCCAGAGGGCCCCTCAGAGGCGAGGCTGGCGAGACTTGTCTCACACACTTTGGACGTGTGGTCAAGAGAGACCAGTCCCTGGAGAAGGACGTTGTGCTCGGTAAAGCAGAGGGGCAGTGCAAAGAGGCAGCCCCTTGACGAACATGGCTTGGACACACGGCTTGGACACACGGCTGCAACAATGGGCTCCGACCGAAGCACAAACACGGATGGACGGCGCAGGGCCCGGCCTGCTTCCTTCTGCTGTCCACGAGGTCTCCATGCGCCGGACGGACCCAAGGGCACCACCACCAACATACAGCGCTGGGGGGGGATTGCACACGCAAACGAACGAAAACGAGCCTTCACTTCACACATTCAAAAGTGAACTCAAAACAGATCAAAACCCAAATCTAACAGCTGGAAACGTGAGACTCCTAAAAGAAGGCACAGACACAGACCTGCACGACCTCTACTGCAGGGACCAGACAGCACAGACACAGACCTGCACGACCTCTACTGCAGGGACCAGACAGCAGGAAAACAAGGGGGCGTGTCAACAAAGTAAAAAGATCTCTCGAGACAGCAGCCAGGTGGGAGACGGCAGGCGGTCACGAGAGTGGACAGGGACAGCAGAACGGAGGCGGGCACAGTGGTCACGGCGTCAACAACACAGTCGATGTCGCTGGCTGCTGCTGGGTCAGGGGGTCTGCTGTGCATTCTCAACAAAAACTTCACAAGATAATACTTTTTTAAAAAGCTGAAACCCACATTTTTTTTTTTGAAACCCACATTTTGAAAGAAACCTAATAAATCATTTTATTGGGGCTCTTACAGTTCTTAGAACAATCCACACATCCATTGAATCAAGCACATCTGTACATAGGTTGCCATCACCATTTCCAAAACACTTTCTACTTGAGCCCTCGGTATCAGCTCTTTTCCTCACTCCATCCCCCACCTTCCCACCCTTGTGAACCCTTGCTAATTTATAAATTATTCAATTTTATATTTTACACTTTCTGCTGTCTCCCCTCATGTGGTAGTTACATAACCTGGTGTCAACTTGTGGAGGGTGCAGTCTAGCCTGTCAGTCAGCTTGATGACCTCATGTGGAGGCACCGTGGAGATAGCTTCTGGAGGCGGGGCACATACGCACTTCCTGTTGACAACACACCAAAGGAGCCACATGGAGGCCCTGCCAACGCTGAGAGGCTTACACCGCCACTGGATCCACAAGACTTTCCACCCACCAGCCTGTGATCTTCCTGCAATCAGCATCATTGCATGTGCTGCGTGAGTCTGAAGAGGAATTTATAGATTGGTTTGGAAATATGGGCTAATATTGGACTTATGAACTTGATCTGGACTAGGCTAGGATATTTCCTCAATATTCAACTGCTGTTGTATATAAAGCTCTTTCTTATACACACGAGTCTCCCTGGATTTGTTTCTCTAGGCCACCCAGACTAACACACTTCACCCACAGGCAACCTAACTTTCATGTTTCAAAGAACAATAAATATGGAGAAAGTAAAAAGAATAGGAGCACGTGGAATGGGAGAAAGTATCTGCAAACTATTTATCTGACAAAGGACTTGTATCTACAATACAGAGAGACTCTTTACCAACACATCAGTAGAAAGACAACCCAAATAAACAAGCCAAGGATCCAAAAACATGTTCCTACATCTATACTAATAGCCAATAAGCACAGGGAAAGAGAGATGCGCAACATTGCCAGTCATTGGGGACACGCCAACCTCAACCACCTCACAGCTGCTGAAATAACAACTGTCAAAGGGCAACAACAAACCTTCTCCGGAACCAGGTATGTGCAGGAAGAAAGGTCAAATGGTGTCACTGCTTTGGAAAGTCTGGCAGTTCCGTGAGCAATTCGAAACAAAGAGTACCCCAATAATCCCACTTGGAGGCGCCTGTCCCAGAACACCGAAGCTCTCCACGAGTGATCACAGCCGCGTCAGTCACAAAAGCCAAATGGTAGAACCAAGCCAAATGCCCACCGACATAGGAACGGATAAACACAATGTGAAGTATCTCTGCATGCACTGGAGGAGCACTGATACACGCTACAACAGACAAGCCTCAAAAGCGTCCCGCAAAGTGTAGGACGTGAACCACCAGGCCACAGGGGGCACGGCATGCCCAGCAGAGGTCAGCCACAGAGAGGACGGTCCAGGGCAGAGGGGAGCAGACGGCTACGGGCACAGGCCGCCCTCGGGGCGATGAAAACATCCTCACAGACGTGACAATTCTGAAAGTCTACGAAAACCAACACGTTTACATAGCAGACAAGTAAATCGTATGGTGTGTGAGCTGCATTTCAGAAACGCTGTTCAAGGGAGGAACGGGTCAGAGAGCGCACGGGACACTCACCTCCCTCTCCAAGTCGCCCTCCTCCTCCAAGAGCTCGTACACCTGCTCCAGAAGCTGCACCCCGAGGCCCCGGATGACGTCAGCTCGCAAGAGCTCCACTGCCCTCCTGAGCTTGGCAGAGCCCGGGACAACCGCTGGAGGCGACAGCAGGGAGAACCAGCGTTCACGCAACAGGGCATGGCAGACAGCGCTGCGCCGTCCCATCACATTGAGAGTCTGTGCACTTTCACAAGCGTCTGGTGTAAAGGCTTTATTTACCGTCTGACTGCTATTTACATACACATACATCTATATACAAGGGGGTACCCCAAAAACCTGGAATCCTTCCACCCCTCTCCAAAGCTATGGTTGTTTGTTTTTTTTTACAAAACAACTTTATCACCTTCAAAGCACTCTCCATTACACTCAATATATGTGTTAAGTCTGTGATTCCAGTCCTGGAAACATTTTTCAAACTCATCTGTTCGGGTGGCTGACAGCACCCCCTCAATTTTTTCACTTCTTCTATGTCATCAAATCGCTGTCCTTCCACGCGCCCCTTCATTCCCAGAAACAAAAAGAAGTCAAATGGAGCGAGGTCAGGTGAGTTAGGTGTGTAGGGCAAGAGAGGCACTTTGTTTTTAGGCCAAAAATTGGTGCACTGAGATGGCTGTGTGAGCAGGTGCATTATCGTGGTGGCAAAACCAGTCCCCCCACTGCCACAAACGAGGCCTTTTTTTGTGTCACACACTGTTACACAATCTTTTCAGAACCTCTACACGGAAAGCTTGATTAACAGGCTGACCTGGTGGAATGAACTCCAAATGTGCTACAAGTCCACATTTTCATCCATTTGGGAAGCTGACCCGTCCAGAACAAGGTTTGTTATCAATCGACATTTCACCCTTTTTGAAATGAGAAAACCACGCTTACACTTGAGTTTTCCCATAGCACTGTCCTTGTAAGCTGTGTTCAACATCACAACAGTTTCTGTGGCATTTTTCCTGAGCAGGAAATAAAATTTCACAGATGCACGCTGTTCTCTCAAATCAGTCATCACTAGCGGACGTGCTTTTATGAAGAAAGTCACTGTGACCAGAGAAACCTTCCCGGGCAGGGCCCCTGGGTGCACTGACTCCGAGAGAGTTGCTGGGCGCAAGCCCGGGCGGGGGGTGGGGGGGTGCCTACTATGAAAGCTCTGCTCTGCCCGGCGTACTTCTGGGTTTTTGGGGTACCCCCTCGTATTAATTGAACTTAAGCTTCGTGCTTCTCAAGCCTGGGATGAACACATGCATGGACACGTGGGACACACACAACACAAACACGCTCTTTAACGTGAAGAAAATCTACCTGAAAGATCCCATTATTCAGAAACACATCACAACATAACACACACTGTTATGGAAATAGCTACATGAAATGAAAAGTATTTGCAAGCACTAGCTCCTTGGCTTAGCATCTCTCTCTAATAAACGGAAGCTTTCCAGCTTGCTACAAAAAATACACCAATACCAGGAAGCAGGTCTTTAAAACGGAATTCCTCTGCTTCTTCTTCGGCAACTTTCCCGTGAAGGACCAGCGTGTCCCGGTACTTCCGGTGCAGCTTGAACTCGGGAGCGGGACTGGGGGCGGTGAGGTCTTCACAGCTCTCTTTAGGGTCTAGTTTCAAGGTCTGAGTCATCAGCTGCACCAAGTCACGCATCTCATTTGTGTGACCTTTGCTGAAAACAACAAACAACGCCCTCTCGTTATTACTGGCTGCCTGAGAATTTCTCACTAAAAACACAGCTGGGGGTGGGGGGCGGCATGAGTGAGCCTCCCTGCAATAACAAGCGTGCACTCCGGACGAGTTTAAAACCCGACTGCTGGAGGCCAGGAGAATGGAGAACAGCTGCTGGCAGGTTCAGGGCAGGCAACGAAGTAGCACCGAAAACAACGTATGGCTGGGGGGCCACCACCACGTGAGGAACTGCACGAAAGGGTCGCGCGTGAGGCAGGCTGAGAACCACCGCTCTAAGACTGCTGGTGGAAAACCGCCTGGGTGGCTGAGATCTTTTTGGCTACAGAGCGCACCACGGACCACGGGTGACGCTCTCGGCTGGGAGGGCGCGAGAGGGCTGCGTGGACAGCTCGCGAAGCACTCACTCTCCCTTGGGACCCCCGTCTGACGCCTCAGTGGAACTCGCAGAGGAACTCAGCTCCTCCTCAGACCCGCTCCGCGTCGGCCTCTTCTCCTATAACGTTGACCAAACAGAACTCCACGTGAGAACCCCGATGTGCACGTGCACGCACGATGCCCAGGCCACCCATAAAATTGACAGGTGAGCCTGAGGAGCATCGAGGTATTTCTGTAAGGCCCTGAAGAATGGATAGCCAGCTGGCTCTGCTTGCCCACCTCCCCATCGGAGGCATGGCCCGCGAGGGCTCTGGTCAACCTGACAGGGCCACACACCCCAGCAACTCCATAATGGAGCGTGCAAAAAGAAAGGAGCAGAGTCCTGCTTGTAAAATAACAATCTGCGTCCAAAAAGAATGCCAGGAAAATGAGTCACAAACTCCGGGATGTCACTGGAGAAGGGAGAGCAGGGCCTGGGGGCCTTGCAATGGCCTGTCTCGCCACCAGATGGCGAGCCTGCACCATCCATATGTTGGGCACACACCTGAAGCAGGGCGTCAGCAGAACGCAGCCGGGAAAAGGAGCTGATGGGTAAAATGACAGAACCATCCAAGCCCTGCCTGGCGAAGGCCCTTCGGAAACAGGGTTTGAAAGACCAACTGAGGGTCCCAGAGGAGCCTCGCTGGTAGACTGGGCTATGCCCTGAGCTGCTGATCGGAAGGTCAGTGGTTCGGACCCCCAGGCCCTCCACGGGGGAAAGACGTAAGGAGTTAGTCTGGAGTTGGGGGCAGGGAAGAAGGGTCCCTGGGAGCACAGTGGTCGCAGTTGGAAATCACCAGCCCGCTGGAGAAGGACGGGCTGTGGACCCCCATCAGGGGTTAGTGTGGAAACCCACGGGGCAGTTCGGCTCCGTCCTTCGGGATGACGGCGGTGAGTTTGCATCTGAGACGGAAGATTCAGTTACTTCTGAGACTGTCTGCGGGGAGGGGGGAAACAAGGAGCTGAGACCAAGGGCTCAAGTGGGAAGAAAGCGTTCTGAGAATGATGATGGCCACAAATGTACAGGTGTGCTGGACACAATGGACGTTTGTATGGATTGTGATAATAGCTGTATGAGCCCTCAGTAAAATAATTTTAAAAAGAAAAAGACTGTGGGGGGTGGGGGCGACTATTAACCAGTTCCTTTCCCCACCAGAGCACAGTAGGACTGAAGCTGCTGGCCTCAGAAGGCTCACTGTGTGCCTGTGCTGGCTGAGGCAGCACGCCTCCCAGCAGAGCGCTGCGTACCTGAGCCACGCCGCCACCGCCGCCGCCGCCATAGTCTGGAGAGGCTGGCCGGGCAGGGAGTGGCTGGCCCTCCTCAGGTCTTTCCGGCTCCACAGCACACAGAGACGCGCTCCTCATGGCGGGTCCTGAAAAAGCAGCTGGCTGGGGTGGGCTGGCCTCCCCCAGGGAAGCCCCCAGCCAGTCCCAGGGCAGCGTCCTGGCTGCCACTCTGTGCCCCACACCTCAGTTCGAAGTCCCGCTCTGACTTCGGGCAAGTGAATCAAGCCCGAGCCTCAGCTTCCAACGGGGCAATACTGCCTGAAATGAGATGTTTACCACCGTAAACATGCTGGGTCTCAGTCTGAAATCCTCTGAGCCCCTTGCCTTCTGCAGCCTCCCCTCCACCCTCTAGGGACGCATGCTGCAGACCCAACCGTCTGTGTTCACATGGGGTCTCAGAGACGCTCCCCGTGGGCTCCGGTGCCCTTCGCAAGAAGGAGCTGACAGTCTGGACCCCCAGCTGCTCCAGGGCAGACAGACGGCAGTGTGCTCCCGTCAAGACCATCCGAGACCATTATGAACCAGTTCCTTCCCTCACCAAGGCCAGTCCTGCAGATAAAGCACAGCCTTGGCGCCGAGGAGGCAGCTGTACGCGGCCCTACTTGGGTCTGACTCCTTGGCCACAGGTTTGGTGCCCACATGCCTGGGAATCATGCCGGCAAGCCAGCAGGGTAAGGGCAGAGGACGACATTACCTGAGGGGCCAATCTCTTCCTGGGACTGCTTCAGCCGTCTCCTCTCTCGCGCCGACAACGGCCGGTCCTTTCAAATGAAGCCACAGAGTCGGTCAGTCACCCTCACAACAGCTGCACTACAGGAAAGGGCCTGGCACTGTCCTTCAGAGCGTCCACTTTATACCCGTCCCCACCAGCGTGGTACCCGCAGCTAGGAGAGGGCACAGTCTGCCGGGGCTTCTGGGAAGGAGTCCTTTCTGAGAGGGCAAGGGGGGGGTTACATTACCCAACTCCTAACTGCAATCCCAGCGAGTGCCCAGCCCCCGGACAGCAGAGGCTGTGCGTGTCCATTACAGCGTGGGCCAAGGGCCAGCGCGTGCCGAAAGGCAGGACTAAGATGCCTTAATATAAGCACAGGATTTTACAACACAAAGCCTACGGCAGGTTTAAAGCCTATGTCGAGCCCACAGACCTTTGATGCAGACACCTCGCTGCGCCCGGAGCTGCTCACAGCGCCCCCGGCTGCGCAAGGGTGGTTCTCAGCACCCTGTGTTGGCACAACATCGGCTCTTGCGACGGTGGGAAGAGAAGAAACCTGTGGGCATTAAGGCAGGCAGACAGAGGGTGGTTGTTTATCGGTGTCCCCCAGCTTTGCCATGAGAACATGGACCCCATCAGCTGAAGCGTGTGGAGAGGGCCTGGCAGGAAGGAGGGCTCCGGTGACTTGGCTCCGCGGGCGGACGAAGGAAGCCGGTCTTCGGCGTGACGCAGGATCAGGGTCACCTAGCGGTAGTGTGCTACCATCACAGTCACTGCCGACTCACTGATACTAAAAACTGCTCTGCTCCCAGTCTGCTGTTCCATTTTGGAACTGCTAATCACCCTGAAGAGGAACCTTGTGCCCGGGGCCTGCTCCCAGGCAGCGGTGCAAGGAGCGAGTCCAGAGCTCGTTCTCACTGACCTGCTTCTGGCCCGCACCGCAGGCCGCTGGCTGCCCTTCGGCCGCCGCCTGCACGCAGAGGGCTCACCCTCACGGCCCAGGGGCGGCCCGGCTGGGTGGGCTCTGCCCTGCATTTCTACAACACTCTCTCCAGCAACCGCGTCCGCATCCAAATGGTCTGGGCTTTTTCTCTCTCCCTACAACCAAGATGAGTGTTCTCTTTAATTAAATTGCTCAGGGTCATTGCCCTGAAAATGACTGATATTTCATTCAACAGTAGATCTCTTCATCACTTTTCATCGATTTCCTCTTCAGAAAAGTGACAACTGTTTTCAATTAGATCCAATTCAACATAAGTTGACTTCCCTCAGGAGCACCGCCAAGGGGACGGCTGAGTTTGAGTCAGATGAAGCTCACTCTCCCTTATCTAAAACGGAGGGCCGCCATGCACACTGGTGCTACCGAGAGTGGTCAGAGCTGTTTCTGGTACACACCAGATGCTCAGACAATGAGTGATTGCTAGCAATATAATAAAACGAATGACCTTTTAAGTTATAAAGGTCACCAGGGACTTAGTGTTTTATTCAGATAGCTGGTCTTAGAACGAATGCCTATCAAACATTTAAGCAAAATAGATTCTTGCAACTAAACCTTGGAATCTTTACTGATTAGTGTCTGGGTTTTTAGGAGGATGGACATTAGATATTATCATTTCATCCACATCTTAATCAGAAGCCTCCTGTGCTGTGCGGTAAGATTGCTTCCAGAGTCAGCAACGTGGGCACGACATCTTCAAGTTGTCTGGAGAAAACACAAAACTCTGACCCTGTGGGCGAGTCTACAATTCATTACCTAACATGACCCCACGGTGCTGCTGCTGCGGTGCCACCCCGCTGCTTGTGGCGGAGCAGGGCTGCCAGCCCGATCTTCATGGGAGCCGACCACCAACCTTTCTCCGGCACATCCATGGGTGGCTTTGAGCCACTCGGCTCCTTCCATTCCTAACCAGACTCCCTGCTGCCAACTGACTCACAGCGACCCTGCGCAGACCTGCCCCTGGGTTTCTGAGACGGAGACTCTTTGTGGAAGGAGAGCCTCATCTTTCTCCCTCAGAGAAGCTGTGAGCTTGAACTGCTGACTTCAGCTTTTAGTACCCCAACGTTTACCTGAAAGTGCCACCAGGGCTCCTATGAGATAGATTACATGGCTAAATGTATCCTATTCCTATGAGCTAGATTACATGGTTAACTGTAGTATGTTGCTATGAGCTAGATTACATGGTTAACTGTAGTATGTTGCTATGAGCTAGATTACAAGGCTAAATGTATTTATTATATTGCTATGAGCTATATTACATGGCCACATGTATTTATTATATTGCTATGAAATATGGTTAAAGTTTCCAAATATTAAACTAGCTGGACAAGGAGGTTAAAACAGAAAACAACTGACTGACTCCCTTTTCAGAGGGGAATGCGTGCATGCATTTCTCTGGAGGGAGTCAGTGGGGAGTGTGGACGCGTGTCCCGAGGGAGCAGTCCCTGGAGAGGACGTGGTGCTCGGAGGAAGGTCGGTGACTATGGGGCAGAGACAGTGGCGACAGTGGGAAGAAGCAGGCAGGGCTGTGAGGGTATGCAGGACTGGGCAGTGTCCACCTGCTGTGCACAAGACGTCCTGGGAGTGGGGCCAGCACAAAGGCACCTGGGGCTGCTCTGCTCCCTCAGACAGGGCTGCAGCGAGTTGGACATAAGTTACATTCAATATCCTAGATGCGAGATATATTCCAGATACACATTAAATATGTCTATATAAAAGATTGTACTCTTCTATATACTAAATTTATTCTAATGTTCTTGCTTTCTCCCTAGTCCTCAACTATTACCAGGCTTTTTACGACATAGAAGTAGAAAACAATCGCTAATCATCTTAGAATACACTCAGCATCACAAGCCTTTGGTCTCTCTCTCGTTCCCCTCCCTCTCTTCTCTGTGTCTCCCTTGCTTCCAATACATGGAATGTTGCTTTATTCCGTAAGGAAGTTACCAGGAGCGAGGGTGGATCACCTGGCGGTGCCAACCTTTCGTCCATCTGCGGCACTCAGGGAGAACCAGGCGGAAAGCAGCAACCCTGGGAGCGAGCATGTTTCTGGCAAGCGTGCCAGCCACAGGGCAGAAGAGGGATCTAAGAGCCTCGGGCTGTGTCGGGGAGGAGCCAGCCAGAGGCTCGTGAGACGTGAGGGTGCTGAACGTCCCCTCACACGCTACCTGGGGCACGGGACCAGGAGGCATGCAGTGACGGCTTCCCTAACATAGCACCCTCCATGGCGACCACCCTCCCAGCCTTCTCTGCCCGTCACTCACAAAGGACTCGTGTGGCCGCGGCTCCAGAGGCTTCCCCACGTCACTCCCGGCCTCAGTGGCCTCCTCCGGGGAGCAGGAGGGACCCAGGTTCTCCTGCTCACCACTGGACTCAGGGTGATCCAGTTCATGAGAGGGACTGCAGCACCCCGGCCGAGTCCCCCGAGCGAGGCTGTCACTCCCCGAGGCCTCCCGTCCCGCAGGAACGATGATGATGTTCACCCTGCTGACTGTGGCCAGTGACTCAGCGGGGCTGCTCAGGTCCCCTTTGCAGGCGTGGCCTTTCAGACTGGCAGGCGTCTTCAACGGGCCGGCCCCCACTGCCTTCTCCTGGGACGGACACTTGTCTTCTCCCTGAGTGAAAACACCCAGGTTAGGACAGCACTCCTCGCACCCATGCCACCCTTAACCTGGACTGATGACCTAAATCTACGAGCTCAAACCCCAAAACGCCCAGCGGGAAATACAGCAGTGCATCTTCATGACCTTGGGCTTGGCACCAGAGTCTTGGAACAAGCAACAAAAGACAAACGGACAAACTAGGTTTCATCCAAAGACAAGACATGCTGCCCCACATTCATCTTTCAGCTTCTTCAACGCAGACAGCAGCTCCTCACGCAGAGACGGACTCTGCTTGGGCCCTTTCTCCTTCACGTGTGTTTACCTTTCGGTTCACCGGGCTCTTCTAAGAACTGGATCTTTTTCTTTTTTAAATGCACTGACCACCCCCACCCAGGGAACCAGACAGGCACTTAGGGGCAGTGCACTGGCCGGTGTGGGCTCAGGAAGGAGGGCAGAAGGTTGTGTGCAAGGTGCTGAACTGGCACAGGCCCCGCTGAGCATCCTCTCAACACAGGTAATGACTTTGTTCAAAAGAACAGCTTTGGTGCTTCAGAGAACACTAGCAAGAGTGAAAAGATAGCCCATGGAATGGGAGAAAGTATTTTCAGTCGTGACAAAGAAATGATTTCCAGAAAGACTCAATGGGCACATGACTTGTGCAGTCACGTCTACAAAGAAGCTACACAAATGGCCAAAAGTACGTGAAAAGAAAACCCAGCTCCCCACCGTCAGCCACTGGGGAGGAGCCGCCCAAAGCCCCATGAGCACCCAGCTCGCCACGCCGCGGGCTGGGATCAGGAGGACGGGCATGGCACGCGTGCTGGCTAGGACGGGGACTGGAGGCCCTCCATTGCTGGGGGAGTAGACGGTAGTCCGGTTGCTGCAGAAAAGTTCGGCAGTTGCCCCAAAGCTAAACAGTCACCGTGAAACCCAACACACTGCCGTGGCCTCAGGCCCAACTCACAGCTCCCATGGGGCCGGGCGGGCTGCAAGGCAGACACTCTTTATGGGAGCAAGCCTCATCTTGCCCCATCGGAGTGACTCATGGTTTTGAACCTCAGACCTTGTGGATAGCAGCCCAACGCATAACCCCTACCCCACCTGGGCTCCTAGGATCATCGCATGACCCAGTAACAAGAACTGAAAACACCTGTTCCCAAAAAGTCGCTGCAGATGCAGCCACCTGCCCGCCAAGCGATGGCTGCGCAGACCATGGAGCATCCAGCCCCGAGAGCCAGACAGGGCGCTGGAAAGGCAGCCAAGCGTGCAGGGGTCTCAGCATCGCCGCTGCCGGCACAAATGCCCACCGTGCTTGGCAGAAACTCTCAGAACAGATGCACCCACTGCTGCGTCCGCGGACTGGAGAGGAGGAAGTGGGGGCAGCGCCACATGGGCACACAGTTTGATTTGGGGAGAGAGGCATGTGGGAGCTGGACTGGCGGGGACGAGCGGCCTGCGGCTCACTCGCTGTCAAAGGGCCGGCTGTCTGCTGGGTGGCTCTCGTCTCCTCGGGTGCCACCGTCACCAGGGGCACAGCTGCAGTGATGGAGCAGAGTGTCCGCAACACGCACATCTCACACGGACGAGGTCCCCCTGGGAGGACCCGCCTTGTTGACGTGTGCCCGGAGGGACACCTACCACCCCAGATGCAGAGGAAGGCGGCGGGCAGGGCGCGAGTCCCTCCGGATGGGGGCCCCGCTGCCGGGAGTCCACCGGAGCCGCAGGCGTGGGTTTAGAATCGCCATCTCTGACATTGTTTCTGGAAGTCTTTCTTCACAAAGACGGAAAGAAGGAGTGAGTCATCATTGTGCAATGGCCATGACAGGTTTTAACCTACCTTACTGCCCCCCCATGCCCTGCGCTCCCCCCCAACCTACCTTACTGCCCCCCCCATGCCC